TTGCCCACCATTTTCTTGCGTGGCAGTGTAGCTCCTATCCACTAGGCCACAAGATTTATAGGAGCCATATACTGAAGAGTTTGGTGGTTGAAAAAATGTGATTTGTAATATAATTAAATAAAATCATGATGCTCATTTTTAAACATCGAAACAATTTTTTTTAACTTAAAAGTGTTTATAATCACATTGTAAAGCCCTTTGCCCAGTGTTTTGAATCATTAAAAGAATTAAAGTAACCATTATGTCTGATATTCTGTTTGAAATTTTATATATATTTTAACTATTTTTCTCCCTCACCATAGGATTTCTATAACTGGCCTGATGAATCCTTTGATGAAATGGACAGTACATTGGCTGTTCAACAGGTAATAACAATAGTTTCTTTTGAAACTTCAGTAATTGTAAGCATTTTACCCTTTTTTTGGTACAGATAGGTAGATATTCCTTTAAGCACAAACAAGATTTCATGGAGTTCATGAAATGCCTATTTAAAACTTAAAACAACTCCCATTTTGTTCCCTTTGTTTTAAGGTGACAAATTGAACTATAAAATGAGTTAATTTAAATACATTTTAGTATCTTTTAACATACATTAAATTAAGGTGACAAATTTTATTTTATAAATGTTACTGTTAAGTGCCATCAAGTCGCAGGTGACTCATAGTGGCCCTGTGAACCAAAGCCCTCGGCACTTGTGTGACTTTCATCCTCTCTCCAGATTCATAGGGTTTCTGGAGGTAAGCTATTTCGTAAGTGGATGCCACTGCTGCTTCCAAGCTTCTTTTAATTGGGGAGCTCCACCAAACACTGTCCACCATGGGTAACCATTATCGCATTTGGCACATCATTGTCAGTGTTCAGCTTCACAGCAACCACAAGTTTTACCTCTGTACGGTGAGTGGACACACCAGGGATAGAAGACCTAGAAGAATGTTTGACCAAAAACAATTAAATACAGGCCTGTGGACTGTAGATTAGAGTCACCCACCTTTGACTCGGTAGCATCACTTTCAGTCCACAAGACCAACTGGTCTCTCTCTATAATAACTTAATTAAAAAAGAATTAAATGATAAATTTGAGTATGTGATTTAATAGAGAGAGAAAAACGTACTCATTTGACCTAATACACACTTGAGAACATGTATGTTTATACTTTCATTTTAATTACCATTAGTTCTTTTGAAAAAATAATTGATTTTAATTTTTAGGTTTACACAATGAATTATTGTTGTGTGCCATCCTGTTGGAACTGACTCATAGCTTATCCAGTGGATTTTCAGAGTATAAATCCTCTGAATTCACAGGAGGAGACTGCCCATCTTTCTCCCTATGAACAGCCAGTAGATCAAACCACTTTTTGGGTTGGCAGCTACAAATCCTTTTAGGCTTACATTCAATAATTTTTATATAAATTGTTCCATGACATTGGTTACAGTTTTCATATTGTGTCAGCATTCTCATTATTTTTATTTTGGTTATTCTGTTTCCATTTATCTAGCTTCCTTTCACCTCCTTGGCTTCTCCTATCTTTTTGGATAAATGTTGACTCTTTGGTTTAATATATTTACTTGTTTAAGGGAGTTATCATTAGTTCTTCATTTCCCTCCCCTTTCAATGTTTTTGAGAAGCCCTGTTAACTTAATTGATTATGTGTTCAGCTGCCAACCATCTGCTCAGTAGGAGAAAGTTGAGGCAGTTTGCTCTTATGAAGATTTACAGCCTTGGAAATCCAGTGGAGGTTTGTTACGGGCTGGAATCAACTGCTTGGAAGTGTATTTGGTCATATATTGTTGTTGTTACTATGTGCCGTTATGTCGCCTGAGACTCATAGCAACCCTATGTACAACAACCCTAAACCCTACTCTATCCTGTGCCAGTCTTATTGTCTCTGACACACCTAACCCCCATCACCGCAGTCATTGAATCAATCCATCTCATGGAGGGTCCTCTTCTCCTGCACTGTCCCTCTATCCTCCCAAGCAAGACATCCCTCTCCAAGGGTCCCGCTTTGCAACATGTCCAAAGTATGCCAGATGAAGCTTCAGAATCCTTGACCCCACGGAGCAGCCTGGCTTCCCTTTCTCTAGGATGAACTTGTTTGTTCTCCCAGCAGTCCTTGGTATATTCAATACGCTTCTCCAACACCACAGCTCTAAGGCATCAATTCTCCTATCCTCCCTAGTCCTTGTCCAGCAAGAAATTGCAAAGACCATGGCCTGTAGTGGGTTAAATTTTGGAAAGCAGTTTGATTCCAATAGCTACTCCATGGGAGCAAGCTGAGGCCCTTTGCGCCTGGTAAGAGTACAGCCTTGGGAACCAGATGGGCAGGTCTTCTCTGGTCTGTAGGGTCACTGAGATTCATAATTGACTTGATGGCAGTTGCATTTGTTTTTTTTTGTGTGTATTTAAAAGCTCAGACATGTTACTTTGTGTTGTTACTAAGTAGCTATAGGCATATTTGGTTTGAAAAGCCCTTTAGGGGATCATACTTATTTTTTGAGAATTACAGTATACTTTGTTGTATTAAAAAATTAAAGAAAATATTTTAGTTCTTCTATAATGAATTAAAGCTGGAGTTAGGAAAAATAGTTTACATACTTACTAAAAATGCGTTTAAGAATGTAGTATAAAAATGACAGAAGTTAGTCTGTACTAGCACACTGGAATAAGCATCTGTTAAATAACATTA